AATAATTTTCAGTGTGGAAAATTTAGGTCCTTTTTTAAATCTGTCCTGTCACCTGTCTTTTTGTGACTTTCTTCATATTATCATCACTGGAGCATTTATTAAATTTGAGTTCCCCCACTATGATCATCCTTTGCTTAATGGTATACAAAAATAGCTGTAGAGACATGTTGTTTATTTTTTAGGTCAGGCAACTTTTAAGATGTACCAAAAATAACGTACCATGAAGTTTCTTTGTTTTTGATACAGAGTCTCACTTTGTCACCCTCAGTAGAGTGTCTTGGCAGCACAACTCATCGTAACCTCAAACTCTTGGGCTTCAGCGATTCTCTTGCCTCAGCCTTCCAAGTAGGTGGGATTACAGGCACCTGCCATAACACCCAGCTATTTTTTTTTTTTAATTTCATTTTAAATTGTTTTAGAGACAGGTCTTGCTCTTGCTTAGGCTTAGGTTGATCTGGAACTCCCTGGCCTCCCAGAGTGCTAGGATTATGGGCGTGAGCCACTGTGCCAGCCTCTTGACTTTTTTTTTTTTTTCACAGAAAAATGATGCATCAGTCTATATCTTAGTACTTTATTACATTTGTTTTAGTTGAAGATACTTATTAGACAAGGGAGGCAAAATAGAAGGGTTAGCTAATGAATGTGTTCTTAAGGTAGTTTCAGAAACATTCAGAGGAGGGCGTGAGATAACTGGCAGTGGTGACATGATGTGAAGTACCTCTGAGATCTTATATTTGATGAAAAGCTGCTGCTGTGCAAGTGTAACACTTAAAACAACGTGACTAACACTCGTCGGTCGGGATGTTCGGAAGGGGCTTGCTGAGGGTGGTTGGTGGCTGGAAGTTTACGGAGGAACAGGTTGCAATGATCTGGTGAGAGGTGGCAGGTGTCTTGTTAAGGAAGTTGTAGCAGAACTGCAGAGACCATACACAGAGAGGTGATCTAGGAGGAAGTTTAACTTACAGCACTGGAGAGGGCAAACCCTGCCTCCCAGGCTGATCTAATCAAAGCACTGTCATGTTTGGGGCCAACTCCCTGCTATTCTAGGGGTTGACGTGAAATGAAAAAATGCACAGTCCCTGCTACCTCCACGCAGGAGAGGCACCTCTCCTATAAATAGGACTTTAGAGTAGGGGTGTTGGGGAATTCAGCTGTTGTTCAGAAGTTTACTACTCATTTTCTCCTTCAGCAAAATTGTCCGTCTTTCTTAGAGTCGTTTTGGCCATCATTGGAGCCTCTCAAATAATTTAACATCTTAATATGTAGTATGAGAAAAAAATCTGTTGAGATAATTGAAAACGACAAAATTGCCTTTTAAAAACTCCTTTTATTTGTAATATTCTTTATAAAAATGCTTCCTCTTACAGTTCTTCAGCTACACAGTGAAGAGCAACTCGGATGGGCCGGCCTCTGCCCCTATCCACTCTGCTCCTCCCTGCCACCCTGGGCACTGACGGAGCGTTATTGTTGTGTCAGCTTGCCTCTACAATAACTCTCCTCCCTCTTCTTAAAAGCGCCAATGCCAAAGAACAATGTTGAGCATTCTTTCTTGCAATAGAGGATAATTGTGTTCTTAGCTGGGATCTTGCTGTCATAGCCACAATAACTGTGTCATTGTGCGGGGAGGCTGGGTCACAGCAGTTATTGTGCGGAGTAATGAATGCTGTTTACTTGTAATGTGTTGTCGCCTGCATCTGCGGGTGAGAACACGCAGTCACTGTAATTTGCCTGGTGAGCGATCAAACTGGTATAAAATAACATCATCTGTTAAGCCAGTTAGTAATCACAAAGAACTATTGACCTTTTTAAAAAAAAATACAGAATTTTTAATGAGAAACTTTGAATACTAGAGCTTGACGATGTGGGACAGTACCTAGTGCCAGGGTGCATGGCATTGTTAATATCTGTTTTGTAATGTAGTTTGGGATCCAGTTTACCTGCATAGCAGTGTAGGAGCTGGGGGTGCCTATCTGTGCTTTGGCTCAGATTGGGAAGAGCTGATTAGTGACCAATGTGTGTGGTGTCAACTGGAAACTGGGCTTTGTGGCAGCGTCCCTTGCACGAGACATGGATTCTGATAGCAGAGAATTCTGTGAATGAAGTTTCTGTGCCCAGTTCTTGAACCTACATAAGGAAAAGATTTTTTTTCATGTAACGTGATGACTGTGATGGCATTGAAGAATTCTTAATGAAGCAAAAGGAAACATTTTTTCTTTTAAAGTAACCTTGATGATATTTTTCAAGGATCTTAAGAATCCCAGTTTGGGAACTGGTTATTTTCTTGACCATGCCCGTCTCACGGTTTCTCCTTCTCCATCCCACTGCCGGTTTTTAAGCACTTTTCAGCTGTTCGGCTGCTCATTACTGCTGCTCATTAGACGCTCTCTGGGGAATGCATTTCAAAGCAGTCCTTTTCATGCTTGCTTTTTTAAAGTTTTGTCAACTTTCCAGCAAATATAAGCCAAGTTATTGCTTAATGTAAAATTTGACCTAATTTGTATTTTTTACATATTTTCTTCTGTTCTGATTGGTACGGATCTAAATGACGGCTTCTCAGGGAAGTCGATTTTGACTAACACCGTGATTTGTATCTCATGAAGGGAGAGTAAATGAGGTTTGGTGCGACTTAAATTTTTGTGATTTGGAGTCTTTTTTGTGATCCCAAGAGTGTAGAAATGACCAGGGAGTGCTAATTTTGGAGGGGAGAAGTACATTAGAGTTAGGCCAGGTAAAGTAATGTAAGAATTAGATCATCTGGTCTTGGCAGGTACAATTCCTTTTTGTTCCATATTTTGGTTTAATATAGAAATAGTATAAAAGTAATAATTTTCCTGCCTTTAAAAGTTATATAAAAGATATGTGTGTTCAATGCAGAAAATTTAGAATTTTTTTTTTAAAAGAAAAAATTCAAGTGTTCGGTAATATTCTCTTCACCTGCTATCTAAAATGGTCATCATTAAGTTTCGGTGTAGAAACCCTCTTGTTATTTTGTAGACTACTTTTCCATAAACCTGTTTTGAACTCAAGTTCATTTGGAAACACAACAGTCATTTTAAGTTTCTCCCATAATCCTAGAGCAAGTTTCCATAACTGATTTTTTGATCGACATTTTCGGGTATTAAATGCATTGATAGCTAACCTTAGAAAAATATAGAATTGTGAATTGTTACTATTAAGAACATTTCCCATGATTTCTAAAACTGAGTTTTTGTTTTGATGATAATCTTCTTTGAAATCATTACGAGACACTAAATTCTTGTTTAGAAATAGAAAATGGAAAACATTTCTGGTGAATAAAGAAAAAACAAATTTTCAATTTTACACAGACTTGTTGGCTTTAAAGTGAGATTGGTTAACTTCTGTTTAAATGGATGTATAAATAAATAGCTTCCTAATTCGCAAATTGCTTATTTTTGTACATATTTTTTCTTTAGATAAATGGAGGTCAGTTAAGATATTCTTACAACAAATTGCTTTGTTCCTTTTTTTTTTTTTTTTATCTCTTCCCTTTCTCCCTCTGACGAATCTTGTCTGCTCCTGTATAGCTAACTGCTGCTATTTTCTGCTTCTGTGACAGCGAGCCGATGGCGGAGTCTCTTCTCTTCAACTGCCTCCCTGGCTTTTCCTTATAGTCCTGTTGCAAGACTCAGCCCTTATAGCAATGGCATTAATACTCCCAGCTTCTCTAAAACCTCAAATAAAGCAATACTAACACCTGAAAAAACAGGTAATATTTCAACTTCTTGACTAGCTGCTCGCTTTGTAACTCAGTTACTAAACCCAGCGTAACTATCCGTCTTCACTGTCGAGTGAGAGGGAGTCATGTACTGGAGAGTGTGTACTGCACACATTGGGTTCAGAAAGGCCTGGCCCTGATGTGCACCCTGGCACCCTGATGGGCTGTTCACAGTTGTGTGGAGTCCCTCCTCTTCAGCAGAGGCATATGTATGCAGTCATGTATTTTCAAGTGTCTAAAATGTGCCTTTAAAATTAAATGTCTAATACAAAGTGGGTAGTTTTTACTAAAACTTACGATTGTAAAACTTTATATCTTATTTTTTCAATGTTTTAATTTTCCTGGTAGCTTTTTTTTTTTTTTTATTAAGGTAGGACTATGTAGAAACAATCATCATAGTGGATTTTCATGAGGTGAGGGTCTCACCATGCCCTTATTTGTGTCAGCACTGCTGTGATTCTGTTCCTACGGCTTTCTTCTATTTCTTCTTCGGTTCTTTTACCTCAAGTCATTGCTTTTTCACTGACATGGGTGCTGTAAGTTTCCTGTGAGCCCTTGCTTGTCTGAATTATGAAGGTTTTGTATGTTTTTGTGACTGTGTATGTTATTCTTATCTGTTTATAGTGCTGTTGCTTGTACTCCATAAAGAATGGACTAGGTTAAATTTCAATATTAAAATATATAATCAGCGACTGTCAGAGACAAGTATGTCTTATTAATTAAAAGGCAGCTGAATATGTATTCCTATGATACGCCTTTACATAGACACTAACGGCATCAAGATTTAACAGTAGTGAATTTTTTATTGTGATTTTTTTATTGTGTATTACTTTTTATTTATTTTTTTTTATTCTGTGTGAAACACAGAACATGAAACCTCCCTCCTTGACAAAATTCGCATTTGTTAGGTAAAGTCCCTCTTAACAAGTGCAGTCAGTGTAACCTGGTTCCTTGTACCCTTCATGAATCCCCAACAATAAAATAAAACAAAACAAAAACAAAATTTGCAGTATGCGGTACAAGTGATTTCACTGTGAAAGTGGAATTTGAGAAAAACTGTGGAAAGATGTTTTTATATAGGTGAATTATGAACACAGGAAGATGTGCTTGTCTGCCCATCAAATGGTGATGTGTTTGGTCATTTTTTTGTAACGTGAAAAGAGGCAAGAAATGCTAGCTTTATACATAAATGGCAGAGCCTTGTATGTGCCCACAGATGGATGTCAGTCCTTCAGACTAACAGCACACGTTTCCTGTGTTGTAGGTTACACTTCCAGGGGCTCCCCTCTCAGTCCCCAGTCATCTATTGACAGTGAGCTGAGTACTTCAGAATTGGAAGATGATTCTATCTCCATGGGATACAAGCTGCAGGACCTCACTGACGTTCAGATCATGGCTCGTCTGCAAGAAGAAAGTATGTCCTTCCTTTTAAACTTGGGATATAAGGGAAGTGGGGAGAGGTATTGGCTTGACAATTAGATTTTTTCTCTCATACTGTCCCATTTTGTAAGTAGAGCACCTGCATACTCAGATCAAAATACATTGATAGACATCGCTGGTGTTTCCACCATGGAAACAGGTTGGCAGTTTCCTAGAAAACTAAACATGCAACTTCCATGTGGCCCAGCAAACTGCACGCTTGGGCTGTCATCCCAGAGCAATGGAAGTTGGTGTTCACACAAAACCCTATACATGAATGTCTTCTGACTAGCTTTATTTGTAACAGCCAAAAGCTGGAATTAGCTTAGATGTCCTTTAGTAGGTGAGTGGTTAGAATGGCTGTGGTATGTCCATGCCACAGTCCTACTCAGCAATAGAAAGGGACAGACCCCCAGTACACAGCATCTTCCATGCAAAATCATGTTAAGGGGGAACGGTGACTGCAAGAGAGGGCATTCTGTAGCATTCCATTTTTGTAACACTTTAAGATGGCAAAATTTTAGAAATGGAGGACGGATTAGTGGTAGTTGGGGCTTAGGGGCTGGCATAAGGTCTTGGGAGGGATGTGGGTATAGTTATAAAGGGAATGGAACTGTTCAGTGTTTTGACTAGGATGGTGATATATCCCTGCCTGTGAGTCTAGAGTCATGGTAAAAATTCAGTTGAAATTGATTGATATGCTTCTCAGGGTAAACAATTGTGGAAGAGAAGATGAATGAAAATGAGACCGTTTATCGGGGGTTCTGTAATAGTTACAACAAATTACAGCAAATAATCCCAAATAAAGCACTTCAGCGTCATTAATGGTATCAAAAGGCACCGTAAGATGCAGATCCCAGGACCAGGCTAAGCTTGTTTTGCATTATTATCTTTTCAGGCCAACCTAAGTAGAAACAACCAGGTATCATTTAAGCATAACAGTTTCCTGCCTCTTGCTTTCAGAATTAGTCAAGGCTACTATGAGAAACATGGTAGTGCCTACACAGGGTTTACTAAGAGACATTTGGAGGGGAAGAGTGATTATTTTATATCATTTTTTAGTAACAGCAAATTTAAATACTCTTTCTAAAAATATATGGCTAAGAGATTGGATGTCAGTTTCAGAAGGTAAGTAGTCAGAAATAGGCAATTAAAAAAAAATGTGGTATTGGCCATGAGTTAAAAGCAAGAAACTTGAAGTGTCACTATTTTTAGATGGATGCCATTTAGAATGACCTAAAACTATTGAAGTGTCAATGTGCTTTGAAAGAGAGAATGTTAGTAACAGAAAAGAACAAAGGAGAGATGACCTGGTAAGAAAATATTTGTACCTTGGATTTTAAACTTTCCCTTTGACTTTGAAAGTTGTGAGTGGGAGCAGACTATCTTCTTACCGGGGAAGGTGTTGGGTGATTTTAATTGTTCTAAAGCAGGGGTCCTTAAACTATAGCCTGTGGGCTGCATGCAGTCCACCGAGGACATTTATCCAGCCCGCTGGGTGTTTTTGCCGCCGCTGCCTGTCCAAGCCACCTCAACCCAGGGCTCTCAGTCTGGCCCTCCAACAGTCTGAGGGACAGTGAACTGGCTCCCTGTTTAAAAAGTTTGTGGACCCCTATAAAGCATAGCAAACTATTCTCTTCCTCCATACAGTAGAACCTCCATAGTTGACCACCTCCTTATGTCACTTCCTTAAGTTGACCTAATTTTCCTAGACCAGACTTGCACCACATGTATGTAGCAGTACAGTAGGCCTGGTTCCTTGTGTTGACCACCTTTGTATGTTGACCAGTTTTTTTAGTCCCTTGGGTGGTCAGCTTATAGACGTTCTAGTGTACTGCTTGATTTGAAAAGGGATCCTTTGGGGAATTTGATAGATACTGATTGAAGAGCTATACAGGAAGCATATAATTTAATCTTTGCTGGAATCAGGATAATCTTTTAGCAAAACAGAATTGTCTCATATTAGATATCTGTTGGTAGGTAAATGTGTTTGTATTCTTGGGATTTCATAAACAGAGAATAAGATAATGAGTTCTATTTGCATAATTTGTTTGGCACAATTTTTTTCTCTAATATTTGATTAATTATAATTTAATGTTAACTAGATTGAAATACCTCATAAGAATAATGTTTGTTGTTATTTTACAGGTCTCAGGCAAGATTATGCTTCTACTTCTGCGTCTGTGTCAAGACATAGTTCTAGTGTGTCCTTGAGTTCTGGGAAAAAAGGGACATGTAGTGATCAAGAATATGACCGATACAGTCTGGAGGATGAGGAAGAATTCGATCATTTGCCACCACCTCAGCCCCGCCTTCCAAGATGTTCACCTTTCCAAAGAGGAATTCCCCACTCACAGACTTTCTCCAGCATTCGGGAGTGTAGGAGGAGCCCCAGTTCCCAGTATTTTCCTTCAAATAATTACCAGCAGCAACAGTATTATTCTCCTCAAGCCCAAACTCCAGATCAGCAACCAAATAGGACTAGTGGAGGTAGGTCCTGTTCCTCTGTGGTATTTGATGTGCTGTTCCTTCACAATGTGGGCCAAAAATGGCTTGAAGAACAACATAAATCATTGGGAAATGTTTTCCAGATTTCTTCTTTCTCAAGATTTCATCTTGAGTTTGGTCTGAATTTACATTTGCAATTGACCCACTACTAATGACAGGTCCCAGGAGCTTCATGAAAACCTCCATGACATACCTGATTCGGAAATCATTAAAAGTGGGGACCTTCTTTATGTTGTAGCTGGTAGAACTGCGGGATGGGCAGGCTTGTGCAAGCGGAGGAATCCATGCTCAACCTTGTGGAGTCAGGGCTCAGAGTTGTTTTCTGACCTTTGTGCGGCCTCAGTCCCTTACTGCCTATTCCTGGCACGGTGGTGGTGTGCATGGGCGGTGACACTTGGGGTGGACGCTGCTCTTGCGCATCCAGATTTAGGGAAGTTTGAGATGTGTCTTTCCTTCTATTTCTTGATATCTAGAATTAAGATCTATGCAAAAGTAGGAACCTGGAGGCTGATATCTGGCACGATCATGGGAAGTTGATGTGTTCAAATGTCAACGTGGTGGTTGGAGTTTGTGTCATTCTCTGTCATATTTTTTTCTGTTTTCATCATTTATCTTTCTCCCTCACTCCCAGGAGTTAGACTCCCTTACTTCCAAGAACTATGGGGAAAACAGACATGTTGTGTTCTTGTACTAAGGATCGGCCAGACCTTCACATACAAACTCCATGTATTATAGAGAAACAAACTACTGAAAAATGATTCCTAATTAAGTAGTGATAGCTTTTCATTATTACATAGCACCCTTTCTCAAAGGTGGGCCCTGAAGTGATAAAAATATATTTAAAAATATTGTTAGGCCAGATACAGATTGTATTAGTGATTAACTGCTACCATGTTTTTAGTTTTTAACTTATCTCCCTCCATTACTTCAACATTCATACTAAGAGGTCATTTGAAAATATTTTAAATTTTATTTTCATAAACTTTTACCATCTGAAATTTCAAGTTTAAAAGGGTGACAGATTAAAAAAGAAGTCACAGTGACTAGTGTATTAAAGCTCATGACACCAGACAGACAGAACATCCCATGTGCTTAGTTGAAGTCACAGTGTCATCCTTCGATTGATAGGATGTCTAGCGTTGTGTTTTGTTACTCGTGTTTTAGAACATTGTAGTCAAGTTGTCAAGCAGATGCTGGTTCTGCATCTTGATTAGGACTTTCAATGGGATCATTTTCCTCCACTACAATGTCGCACCTCAGAAAAGCGATATCCACTTTCAGCAAACGCCATTTTAAAAAAGAGTCAGGTTTCCTGGAAACCTGTGCTTTGATATTCCTCACAGGAAAATGGAACTACCCTGCAGTTCAGGTGCCTTGGTGGTAGTTTTATTTTTCCTAAAAGGTCTGGTTTCTGAAACACAAAGAAAAATGGAACACAAAGGCCATTTTCTGGTTGTGGCTTGTGCCTAATTAGTTGAATGGTTGAGCGCGGGCTCTGAGGTCCAGTGGACCTGGTGCCAGCCCTTTCTGACCACTTCCCTGAGAGGTTTCTCAGGTCTCTGAGCTTTGGCTTCCCTAACTATAAAATGTGGACTATGAAGATAGTATCTTTTAGAAAACTTAGGTATCATTTCCCACCAAACCATCTGGTACATAGTCTTTCAACCTAAATGTGTTATAAGGAATAAATGCAGTGAAGAATCTTCCCTTGCCGGAAGTGGATATGCTGAATAAAGGTTGTCTCCTCCCACCCTCTTCCAAACTTTTGTGAATGAACATATGGTTCAGATGTCTGAGCCTGCATTTGTTACCATAGAAAATTATTGAGACAAAATTGTGAAATGAGAGTGGTAACTCAATCTGTCAAATATTTTTAATTATCAAAATGATGCAGATAGGAGGCTTAGCAAGCATCCGTAGCTCGGTGGTTAGGGCACCGGCCATGTACACCAGGGCTGGTGGAGTCAAACCCAGACTGGGCCTGCTAAACAAACAAGCAACAACAACAACAAAATTAGCCGGGTATTGTGGTGGGTGCCTGTCGTCCCAGCTACTTGGGAGGTTGAGGCAAGAGAATCACTTGAGCACAAGAGTTTGAGGTTGCTGGGAGCTATGACACCAGGGCACTGGATAGAGGGCGACAAAGTGAGACTCTGTCTCAAAAAAAAAAAAAAAAATATATATATATATATATGTATATAGAGAGGTAAAAATAATTATTGAGGGCAGTGCCTGTGGCTCAAAGGAGTAGGACACTGGCCCCATATGCCACAGGTGGCAGGTTCAAACCCAGCCCCAGCCAAAAACTGCAAAAAAAAAATTGTTAAATCATTGAGTCTATTTTGAAATAATTGAAAATAAACTAGAACTGTAAATACATTAACTCCAAAGCTTGTATAGTGCCTAAATTCAAAGAGATGGCTCATAAAAGTTCTTAGAATATTTCTGAGAGTCATAGAATTAAAAGTTTATTTGAAATAAGTTGCTAGCCATGGGATTGGCTAAACCTTACAGAATCTTTACCAATTTTCCTGTAATATTTAGTGTACAGGGGTTGTCTGTGACTTGATCTAGTCGTTGTTAGCATCAGGCCCTCCCTTGGACCCTGTATTGACTGCATTGCTAGATCCAGCTGTCCAGTTGGTAACTGAATACCTCCATCTCCTTGATTCCCAACGATTTCTGAATCTTTGGTTCCATAGTGTGGTGAGTCTAGCTGTCTCTGTACTATGAACAAACTCACTTGAATTCTTTCCTTGGTCTGTCCTCCAGTTTCCTGCTACACCTAAGTCTTCAAAGATTAAATTGCTGATTTCTTGTGAAGATAGTATTAGAACATTCGTTTTTGTTCCTTGAACTTTGTAAGTGGTTATTAAGACATTCCAAGTTGTTTGACAGGAAAGTGTGCCTCATTTCCAGATGGTCTAATGCAAGCTGGAGATCACAGCTTAGCTCCCAGAGAAATAGTGTCCTAAATATTTGCACTTGGAAGACTTACTTTTAAGAACATATTTCAAGGAGGGGAGAGGGGAGGATGGGTGGAGGGAGGGTGATTGGTGGGACCACGCCCATGGTTCATCTTACAAGGGTACATGTGAATCTTTGTAAGTGTAGAATATAAATGTCTTAATGCAATAACTAAGAAAATGACATGAAGGCTATAGTAACCAGTTTGATGAAAATATTTCAGATTGTATATAGAGCCCGCACACAGCTGTACATAGCTATGATTTAATTAAAAAAAATTAAGAACATATTTCAAGATTAAAGCTTTTTGAAATTGAATTGATGCTTAAATATGAGTAAAGATTGGTTTTAAAGACGGATACATCTAAATTGACAGTGATTAGAGACCCGACAACCAAGTGTAATGCATGAACTTGGTTGGATTGTGGTCTAGAGGGAAAAATATTCTTGATAAGTTTGGAAAATTTGTGTATGAATTATATTATTAATTTGTTTGTGTATGGTGACAATATTGTGATTCTGGGGAGCTTTCTTAGGCTTAGGAAGTCATCTGCATTTAGGGTTAAAGTGTCAAGAGGTGGCAGCTTTTATATTGTTTAGCAGAGGAAACAGCTGTATGTGTGGAGATACATTGTATATGGCAAAGTAGAAACTACCAATTCAGTCAGAAAATGTGCAGGTGTTTATGATACTATTTTTCAATGTTTCTCTGTACAAAATCTGTTGTACTAAATAGTGGAAGAGCAATTTAAAAAAGAAATATAGAAGCCTGCAGTAGACCCTCCTAGATGACCACCTCCTTAAGTTGACCTAATTTTCATGGATCGGACATGAACCACACATGTATGTATCAGTCCAGTCGGCCTAGTTCCTTATGTTGACAACCTCCATATGCTGGCCAGGTTGTGACTATCCCTTGGGTGGTCCACTTACAGATGTTCTACTGGATATGATTTGTTTTCTGATTTAGCTTGAAAGGAAATGACCACAAGCTTGAACGTTCTGATATGTGCCCTCAAGTGTGTTGGGGAGTATTTTATTAAAGATAAAATTATCTTGTAGAGTTTGGGGCAATGAAAAAAATCTTGGATATTATAATGGATTGTAAACTTCCTAAGTTTACCCCTACCTTTCAAAATGTTATTCTTAAATATTTAATTTCTTTCATTTGAGAGAAATTAAATTTTTTTTTTTTTTTTTTTTTTTTTTGCAGTTTTTGGCTGGGGCTGGGTTTGAACCTACACCCCTGGCATATGAGGCCAACGCCCTACTCCTTTGAGCCACAGGTGCCGCCCAAGAAATTAATTTTAAATATAATCTATATTTAGATTGTCTTCTTAGGCTCAATAATGGGAAAATAAAAGATTGAGAAACATTGGTCCAGATGCTAAAGTCACTGAGAACTGGGGACAGTGTTTCTCTTATCTAATAAATACAGCGTGGACTCTCCAGCATCTCCCAGTATCTGGCATTTAGTAAAGACACAATAAATATTTGTTTCCTTTGTTCTGTTGTCCCTTCCACAATGTAGGGATGGGTACTCACATGGAGGGACCAGCATGCGTGCAGGTTGTAGCAGACCCCTCTGTGTCCTCATGTCCTTATCTGGGCCGTGCTCAGGCACTGGGCTTTCAGATGACAAAAGGGAGAAGAATCAACGCTGGAAGGTTCAGCAAGGGGGTGACTACATATGTGTTTGGGGTCTAGGCAGGGTGGGCCTGCCTGGCTTATGGTACAGGATGGATTGAAGGAATAAGACAGGGTGCATGGAAACCAATTAAGAGCATTTTGTGAAAATGTAGGTGATAGTGAGGGCTGAACTAGGTTGAATGAGTGGAAGATTCATGAAATCCTCAAGAGATGGGATTAACAGGACTTGGAGTCTAGGGTGAAAGGGGAAGGCGAGTCTTGGGAGACTCCCAGACTTCTGATGGAAGTGACTTGCTGGACAGGGCTATGGTTTTTGGATCTAAGCAATTAGGAGAATAATGTGTGAAGGGGAGAAATGAATGCAGTTTTGTACTTGAACAGACTTTAGCTTAGTTTTCAAATGTATCCTTTGTTTTCTCAGCTTAGACCTGCCGTACATACTTTAGTTTGGGGGAGGGGTGTATTTATGTATTAGGAAACTGTTTTGTAGTACCGTTGCCGTCTTGTGGCTGATTTAAAGATCTCAGCAGCATTGAGATATGTCTGACTCTCGGCTGCCTCTTGGTGGTAGAAGATGTACTTAGCAAGGAGAAAGAAAGAGAAGTACAGTATTTTCCTGTTCTTCTCCAAGTCTCCAAATATTGAGTGGCACAGTCGTGAGAGTTAAAACTTCCCAGAAGTTAATGTGGCCATGTTGATGTGCTGAATAGGTATCGCAAGACATCTCAAGTTGGAATTTTGTTAATTTGCTTCACTTTGGTGGGTTAGCAAAAAAAATTCAGGAAGTGTTAATTTTGACTCTTCTAGTTTTTAAAAATAAACGTGTAACTTGTAGTTTTTTTGTAGCTTAAATGGCTTTCAGGTTATTTTCAACCCTGATTTAATACAGCTTTATCTGTCTACTTATTGAATAGGAACAAAGAGATAATTAATCCCTATCTCTTTTTATAGAACACTTGTTTTTCTTTTAACACAGTTTTGGTGGAACCTTCTGGTTGGAGAGTATGTTTTCCTATACTGTAGGTTAATTCTCTGAGAGTTTGTTCATTAGCTCAGGATCATTTTTATCATTTACTTTTGCAAGCTAGTGTTTTAATTGGCATAAAATTTTGTGATTTTTTTTTTAATTTGGTAAAACTCTTTTCTCTTCCAGATAAGCTCCGGAGAAGTATGCCTAATCTCGCCCGGATGCCAAGTACAACTACCATTAGTAGCAACATTAGTTCTCCAGTCACCGTGCGAAATAGTCAGAGTTTCGACTCAAGCTTGCATGGAGCTGGAAATGGAATTTCAAGAATACAGTCCTGTAGTAAGTATGAAAAGCTTTAATATGGCTCAGCACCCGTAGCACAGTATTAAAACCTGCCACATACACTGAGGCTGGTGTCTTCAAACCTGGCCTGGGCCAGCTAAACAACAATGGCAACTGCAACAGGTGTTGTGGCAGGTGCCTGTAGTCCCAGCTGCTTGGGAGGCTGAGATAAGAGAATCTCTTAAGCCCAAGAGTTGGAGGTTGCTGTGAGCTGTGAAGCCATGGCACCTACTGAGGGCAACATAGTGAGACTCTGTCTCAAAAAAAAAAGAAAATATAGCTGGGCGTTGTGGTAGGTGCCTGTACTCCCAGCTACTTGGGAGGCTGAGGCAAGAGAATCACTTTAGCCCAAGAGTTGGAGGTTGCTGTGAGCAGAGATGCTATGGCACTCTACCGAGTAAGACTCTGTCTCAAAAAAAATAAATAAATAAAATGCTTTGTAATTTGTAATTAGTCTCAGAACACCATTAAGAAAGTATCTTACTGTTTTATGTCCTCCCTTTTTACTTGCAAGCACTCTAAAGGAGATTTTTCTCCTTATTTTGTGCCCTTTTTTGTATTTCACCATTACGGTTGAGTAGTATTTTTACCAGTGCCTTTGTTGTAAATTAAAATAGCAAATCATATGTGGTCTTTTATACTCAAGGATAGCAGTAGAAGTACTAAATGGTGATTAATTTATCCAGTCATCGTAGAAAAATCTTTTCTTCTTTGCAGATACATCCTCTTCTTTCTAGCTGATACCTGATCCCTTTACTCCGAGAGAGCGTGCTTACCTCTGTCTGGCCGTTACTTTGTTCTTGTTTTTCACCCGTGTGTGACGTTTTTCCCCAGGTGAAGTTATGTTTTAGTGTACCTAATGTGGTTTCTTTGTGCTCCTTTTCGGCTCACCCCACAATCTGTTGCTCACTTCCTACGTGCTTCATCTGTCTGTGAGCAACGCAGTGAGCGTCAGACCCAGTGCTGTATGTCTTTGCCTTGTGCAGGGATTTGGTAATTCCAGATTCCCCCCCTTTCTGCTCATGCTGTGTGTGTGGATTGTTGGGGTGAGATCTTACATTGACCCCTGGGAGGAAGGCACAAGGTCATAGTGGCAGCATACATATATATGCCCAGATTTAGGAGGTGCAGAGTGTGTTCAGCCTGTACTGGCCCAGAGTCAACAACCGGAGGTCTCCGCGGTTTGTGGCCCTTCTCCCTCAAACCCAGGTTTGTGTCTCAGGTGCTATTTCCCCAACATGCGATGGTTTTTCATGTCTTTTTGTCTTAGTTCCTAACAACACGGTGACAGCCATGACTTTACAAGGGACTGTGCTGATTAATTTATATTCATCATCTTACATAGCTCTGCCAGAAACTCTGTGCGGCAGTTTCTATCGTCATTCCCATTTTGTGGATGAGGAAATAGTTCTAGGTCAGGTTAAGTAATGGTTTGCCCAGGGCCTTGCAGGTGCAAGAGCAGAGATGCAAACCTAGCTCCGGCTTTTTTTGACCGTGATGTTCTGACTCCGCCCTTTTCTGCCTGCCACACTCTCTCCCCTTCTTCATCCGGTTTACTCCTGCTGACTTTTGTGATACGATACAAATGCCATGTTCTTTGAACACGTCTTCATTACTTCATTGATGACCTAACACACTCTCCCAAATACCCCTCAAGCAAGGCTAGAATGGATTGGGTTTCTGTTATTTATGTTTCATGTTTTACTGTTTGTATAATTCGTCTTCCCTCCTAGGTTATAGGCTCACTCTGGGCTTGGACCGTAATTTGTTTGATTTTTTGTTCTCAGCATCTGGCATGTCGCCCAAACATAATGAACTTTGAGTGACTGCTTGAATGAATGAATGAATGAATACCATGTGGCTCTATCTTAAGGCTCTACCTGTTAAATATTTGAGTTAACAACTTGTGGGAAAACACAGAGGCAAGCTGTGCAGTTTGCTAAGGGTGTGACACTGAGAGGACCACTGCTAACTTCACATCAGGAAGTTAGAACAATGGACAGATTTGACTGCCATCCGGCTTAGAGAATGTATACAGAGAAATACACCATTCTGTGTTAGAGTTACAGAAATCAATAGTGTAAGTGTAGAATGGGAAAAATACAGTTTTGACAAGAGCAGATATGGCAATGATTGGAAATTTTTGTTAACTTTACCTCACTGTGTGTTAGTAGCTAAATTAAAGTAGACTGTACATTGCAAAGTGCCAAGTGGCTAAACCTGGGACAATTTGAGCTATAGAATAAAAAATTATAATGATGTATTATAAATGATAGACTAAAATAAATACGTGTATCCCTCGCTCCATACTTAATTAAATGAATAAATAAATGGAGAGGAGGGGAAATGCTTGGCAGGAGAATTCCCATTAATAAACGTAAAAGAAATGATGAAAATAAAGAGAAAAGTAGTTAACGTGTTGGTCGTAATGTAGTGTTGTAAAATCTTAGGATTCTACTTTGACTTTTGTTTCTGAACATTCTGAGCTGCTGTTCTTTATACATTGAGTTTATATCATGAAGATTTCTAGTTCTGGACCATTTTCCTTTCAGGAAAGCACGAAGGTAGGACAGAGAAAGTTGGAAGGGTGGCGAGGTCTAGAAGGAGAAGCATGATTGTCTCTGGGTTCAGGTTGTACGGTTTACCTGTTACGACATTACTACCTAAATATTAATAATCTCTCCGTCTGGGAATGCTGCTCTCAATACTACTAGATTTTTGGCTCTTCATGGGTAGATTTTAGGTTGACCTCTGTATATCTGATATTTTCAGGTCATAATTATGGAATACCAATAATTTGAACAGTCATCTTTACTATATCCTGTTCATTTTTATAACTACTATGGATCCTAGAGTAAATGCCAGATTTTTTAAAAAAAGTTTAATGCAGAACTGTTCAACAAAAGCCCGAGGCTTAGGTGTTTTCTTCATCATAGATTCTTGAGGGAAGTTATGTATTCTTTTTGATTTTTGTTTTCTCATTTGTAAAATTGAAATTATGTTGGTTGATTTAAACTTGTTTCTCTTATCTCTTTTTCTTAAAAATCAAGAATGGTTATTTATCTTGAATGTAGGGAGGATAATAGGGTATTAGGACTCTGAATTCTGAATTTCATAATTTCATGTCAAATGAAATAGGAATTTCATTGAATGAATCTATAGATCAGTTTCAGGAGAGTCTTCACATTCATTGATTTAGGTCTTTATTGCCTCTCAGCACTGTTTCATAACTTTCTGTATAGAAGGTTTATCTCTGTAGTGAAATTTATTCCTAGGTGTTTGATTTTCTGTGTTTTTATAAAACAGTGATTTCGCTGCTGATAGACAGATAATGGTAGCTAGTACTTGTTGAGAGGTTACTGAGTTCTGGCTACCATTCTCAAGTTTTATGTGGATTAATTTATTTAATCTTCCTGGCAACCCAGTGAGTAGGTAAATGTCATAATAAACGTTACTTAAGGAATATGTTAATATCTGTAATAAACTGTACCTACAGATACCACCTGTGTCTTCTTTTCTAGAATTAAAACTATTAAAGTGTCCTCTTGTTTCATTTTTATGAAACTGTCCTTCGAGCAGCCATCAAGAAATCCTAATGTTTTCCAAGCAAGCAAGGAAGAATTTACTCTATAAGAACACAGAGTATCACCTTGGCTAAAGGAACGGAGGCCGTGCTGTGCACTGGCTTCTGTGTGTAGTTAGGCACTCCAGGATGGTGCTGATTGACAGACTAGGAGACTCTTGCCAAGGGTTAGAATTTTCGGCAGTGAAATGCTGTCTGGAAACTGCATTCCCATACCGTTTCCTAGGTACATTGTGCTCTTAGGCAGTACAGGCTCTGCTGAGTGTGGTGTGCATTCTCTAAGCCGGATGGCAGTAGAAGTTTCCTCACCTGAATGTCATGTTCTCTTCCAGTTCCGTCACCAGGACAGCTGCAGCACAGAGTCCACAGCGTGGGACATTTCCCAGTGTCTGTCCGACAGCCTCTTAAAGCCACAGCCTACGTGAGTCCAACCGTTCAAGGCAGCAGTAATATGCCTTTATCCAACGGCTTACAGTTGCATTCCAGCACAGGAATCCCTACGCCAAACAAAGCTGCAGCTGCCGGGATCATGGGTCGCAGCGCGCTTCCAAGACCTTCACTGGCAATAAACGGGAGTAACCTGCCTCGAAGCAAAATTGCACAACCAGTTCGAAGGTAAGAAGCTTTGTTTGCATAACTTCATTTGCTGTTTGAAACTAGAAACTGCTCCTAGAACCATCCCGACTTTTCCTTTGGCTCAGTTTAACCTTACCTGGTCACGGCCCTTTATGGCCTGGCTGTCCCTAAAGGGATGGATGTCCCTGTATGGTCTATCCTATTTTCTCTGATCGCATCATCTTCCCGTACTCCCTCATCACATCGCTCGTGATGTACTCTTTGCTTTTGCCTGGTAAGTTTTCTCGTCCCAAATTATTTAGATGTTCCCTGCCCTCTTGATGCCTTTGCTCAGATGACAGCTTCAGGGGTAGTTGCTTCTCTAGTTCACTGCTATATATTCCTAGTGCCAAGAAGTATGCCTGTCACAGGGTAGGTTCTCAAATATTTGTTGAATCAGTCACTTTTTATCAAAACGTAGAAAAATGTGTTAGGCACATGTGCACACACCATACTCATGATTTGAAAAGGATCTTAGCGTGATACTCAGCTGGGGCTTTATCTGCTTATGTTTGTGAATTCTGTTGGGTCCCGGTAGAACTTTTTTTCCTATCTTAATAATTCCAGATCGTCTGCAGAGAACATTTTAGACCAGCTCCTGGTCATGGCATACCCTTCTTGAATGGGATATCCTGGAGGGTTTTCTAGTTTAAAAAAAAAAAAAAAGAAAGGAAAGTCTATAAGACTGGGTTGCAGAGAGATAGGAAGATGAGAAAAAAGGAGAGAATAAATAAGACTCTTATAAGAAATTAGGCTATGAAGAAAGAGAGGGAGGGAACTGGAGTCAAAGTTTGAAAGGGATGTGGGAACACGTAATTTCTTTCTTTCTTTATGTACTTCATGTGGATGTAAATAGTTTTTGTTTGCTTATTAGAAGTAATAGGTGCTCCGATTAAAAACAAATTATTGAAAAATGAAACAAAAGCGGCCCTATAATCATACTACCCAGCTGGAAATCATTTTGCTGCATTTGTTCAATGAATTCTGGCTGCTTCTGCTTGGTAAATGCAGAGCCATACTGTCATGTTCATGCAGGACGGAATCCTGTTATCTGATGCGTGTGGGTTATACTGTAGGCCTTCCATTCACCCCTGGATAGACATCTCTGAACTACCTGAAAGGTGGTCACTGCCAGAATACAGGAGAGGGTCTGTTCCCCAAACTAAAGCAAATGCTGGGTATTACCATTCTTTTTAAGTGCTCTGCCAATGTGACAGACACCCTGTCAGTTATTAGAAAGGTTAAAATTCCTTCATGTTTATTTGCTATTTGTAGTCAATAAAGTAAACATCCTTGTTTTTAGGCCATCTTCCTAGTTTCTTGTTCTTTATGAATTTAAAATATTTGAGCGACACTAAGGATATTATTTTTATTTATGTTGCCAATTGGCTGTGTGCATACAGTGTGCATGGACGGCACTGCGCCGCCGTCAGCCGGGGCCTCAGTGGGAGGGCATGTCGTGAAGGCCCCCAGGTGTGAGCCCCAAGCTGGGCTTCGGATGGTGCCAAGAGCTTGTCATTTCTGGAGGAGAGGAGCGTCCATGAGAGAGTAGATCAGCGTAAGTGACCGAACTCATGGGATTATTAACAATCTTTCTTTTGTTTTCATCTCTTTATAGTTTCCTCCAGCCTCCAAAGCCTCTGTCTTCACTCAGCACTCTGAGGGATGGAAATTGGAGAGATGGTTGCTACTGATGCAGTTTTATTTACCCTGAAGAATGGGAAAGAAGTGAAAATGAGGGTTGTGTTACCCAGCTGGCTGGGCAACAGTGGATGTTGGGATATTCTTTCCCTTTTGCATTTTAATATATTTACTGCATTGTTTTTCAATGGACCAGTCACCAGAGACTAATAATTGCACTTAAATATTTGCCTGAGATACTGCAACGTTCTCAAATCCATGGTTGCAGTATTGTGACGCTTAGATCTAGGAAGTTTTTGTAGAACTGCTCTGTACCTGAATACTTTTTGAGAGAATTGAGATGTATCAATAATGCTTTGCCATATGCGTTTTTTTTTTTTAAAGTAACTTGTTCAATTTACTTACGTGTTCTAAACATCTTTCCATCATCTGTTGTGTATTTTAATACGTGCATATTTACAACTAGGTTCTATAATGTATGCTTTGAAATTTACTTTTTTATAGTTTACAGGAATTTTATTTTTTGTGCCTATTTCTTTTTACACCTATGTGAACCACTATGGAACAACTTAAATTTTGTGCCATAAAAATATTTTTGTGGTAAGGTACTATTTTTTTAGCTCTAGGGATATATCAGCAAAAAAAAAAAAAAAAAAAAAATCCATCATACAATTTGAAAGACATAACTTTGTGTTGAATGAGCACAACATAATCCGAAGCATTGGGAGGAGACAGCCAGACAGCAGAGTTAAACGGTCTTGTCATTTTCATTGTTAATTTCTTGTCACCCATGGGTTTCATATTTATAATGGCATCACAAGCTCATTGCACTTAATACCTGCAATGTTTGCTACTGTACCACAATTAAATTTTCAATACTTTACTACAAAGGATGAAACTGTAATGTTTTATTAACAATGCTTCTGGAAATGAATGCATTTTAAAGCAAATAAATCTTTTTGATAGACCTTTTACAAAACCCATTTGCACTAATGAATGCTTTCTTATGGCATATGACTTAATATTTGTTACTGTGTACACTGCTGTTTTGGAATGTTCAGAAATAAAGACTCTATTTCAGCAATATCAGGTCACGCCTGAATGTGCAGCAGAAAGAGTATTTCACTACAATTGTGAAAACAATGGTGGTTGTTGCTATGTTTTGTCCTGGGCATTTGTACCTCAAGCAGGGAGACTTAGACTGTTCAAATTGGCAGAAATTATTTTTCTTTTCCCGAACACTTTGGAGAAGAAATGTGAGGTTTTAGTTTTACCGTGAGGTTTAGGGCTCATTTAGAAAGGCCACCAGCACTTCAGAAGCCTGTTGGTCATATGCTTATTTATGGAGATTTCGATATTTTATGGGGGTTGAATTCGAAATACTTTTAGTGTCAGCGGAATAGCAAAGTACTATCCTTATTCTACATTATATAAGGTGTCCATAAAGTTCGTGTGCAATTTGAAATAGCCAGCTAACTATGTTGAGACACTTTGCCTAAATTTTCCATAGTACCTTCAGGTATAAAGGTTTTTATGTTGACTTTTTATTTATTTATTTATTTTTTGTAGAGACAGAGTCTCACTTTATCGCCATTGGTAGAGTGTCGTGGTGTCACATAGCTCACAGCAACCTCCTCCTGGGCTTAGGCAATTCTCTTGCCTCAGCCTCCCAAGTAGCTGGGACTACAGGTGCCCTCCACGATGCCCAGCTATTTTTTTGTTGCAGTTCAGCCGAGGCCGGGTTTGAATCCGCCACCCTCAGTATATGAGGCCAGTTCCCTACTCACTGAGCCACAGGCGATGCCCATATGTTGAATTTTAAAATGAAGTTTTATCTATGGTCAGTAGAGGTTTTTATTTTTTTTTTAAAGTGTGCTTTGCATATAATTCTATTTAGAACTAAAAGGACTGGTTTTTAGATAACTTGCCTTTCAAATACCACACGAGGAGGTGAGATGTGAAAGGGGAAATAATATTTATTGAGCACTACAGTGACAAGAACTGTGCAAGACATTTTGTGGACATTTGTCTAAGTTCTAACAACCATCTACTGTTATCACCATTTTAAAGATGAAGACAAGAGTCGCAGAGTGATGACATCAGCCTTGGGTAAACATTTTAGCCAATAGTGAAGCTGATTTTAGAATCCAGATTTATCTGACTCAGAAAGTCTGTTTTTCCTCACTACTAAACTCTCTTCCTGTGAACACATATGGTCAGTGTATTTTTAAAAAATCAGTTTATACTCTGTCGAGGAAATTGAAGGATTCAATTAATTGTCCATCCAGGTATTTGATTTATATTCAAAAAAGTCTGCTTAGCCTTTGGGATAAAAAACAAAGATCCCTTCCTCTTGGATTGTACATTTTGGGGGGGAAGAATATAAACCATAGTTGAATAAATCACAGCAGGTTAGGGCATATATGCTATGGAAAAATAATCAAGGTAAGGTGAGTTGAGAGGAAATAGGAATCAGGAGAGATTATGCTATCCCAAGAGTCATGTAGTTGAAGGACATGATATTTGAGCAAAGACTTGAAGTTGGAGAGTTAGTCCTGAAGATAATTCACAAGCTTTTTTTCACCTAGAGTTCTGTAGGACATAAAATACTGTTAATGAGTATTTTCAGTTCTCTGTGAGATGGTAGGGAATTATTATTCTTGATGTGTAGGAGGGAAGTTAATACATTATGGACATGCCTAGGGTGATGGTTCTCAAAGTGCAGTCCCCACATCAGGGTGGCAGCAGTATCTTTTGGGAACTTGTTATAAATGCATCTGCTCAAGCTTCACCCCAAAACTACTGAATCAGCCCTGTAGGTGATTTGTGACAGGCTGGTGGAGAGAACAGCCTGCATGAAGGAGGTAAGATGGAGCATACCTCTGTATCTGAGGGAGAGCAAGGAGGCCAAGGTGGCTGCAAATAGAGAACAGGTGGGAGAAAGCCACAGTGATGAGGCTGGACGGTGATGGGGCAAGGTCAGGTAGGACATGGTGGCCACGGTTATGACTTGGATTTTACTCAGACATGGGAAGGAGCTGTTGCATGGTTTTGAACAGCAGAATACATTATTTGACTTATTTCAAAAAACATTGTAAGATTGTAAGAGGACAAGTGTAGGTGCAGGCCGGATGAATGCACCTGCTTCAGTAATCCAGATGGGCTGAAGAATCAAACCAGCCTGACAGCAGTGAAGGTGGTGAAATGGCCAGTTGAACCCCTTGTTGGATTGGATGTGCTCTACATGCGTTAGTAATCATGAGAAAAACTCCAAGGTTCTGGGCTCAGCAGCTAGAAGTTCTACCAGCAGAGGGGGTAGATTTGAAAGCTGTGGTTTTGACTAAGATCACCAAAATGAATTTAGAGAGGGGTGTCCAACCTGCTCGTGGGCCACACGCTGATAATGTGTGAGAACTTTCTTGGCTTATCTTGGGTGTCAGATATCACAAAAATATGCAGGGACTTTTTTTTTTCTTTTTTAACTAATCAGCCTTTGTTAATGTTTGCATATTTAACATGTGGCCCAAGACAACTCTTATTCTTATAATGTGTGGCAGAGGGAAAAAAAGGTTGGGCACCCCTGGTTTAGACAGAGATTGAGGACTAAGGAATGAGACCTGGGGCACATGTGCCTTCTATTACCTCCTGAGCAACTCACATGAGATCACCTGGTTAATAAACTGGAGCACAGACTCAGAAAGGGATCCTAAGGAGCATGGTTCTCCAACAGGGGCCGGAGCTGTGGTGCTGAGTTCATACAGTTTAGCATGGTTTATATTTGTATTAGTTAGCTACTGCTGGATAGCAAGTTACCATGCAATGTAGAGGCTTCAAACAATATTATCTCCGTTTCCATGGGGCTGGGATCTGGCTGCAGCTTAGCTGTGTCGTCTGACTCAGGGTCTCTTACAAGGCTGCAGTCAGTGTGTCAGCTGGGACTCCAAGGCCTCTTATAAGGCTGCAGTCAGTGTGTCAGCTGGGACTCCAAGGCCTCTTACAAGGCTGCAGTCAGTGTGTCAGCTGGGACTCCAGGCATTATCCCGAGCTCACTCTTATAGTTGGTGTAGAATTCATTTCATTTTGTGCTGTCCACCAGAAGCTGTGCTTAGTTTCTTGTCATGTGGGCCTGTCCTTAGGCAGCTTACAACTTGGTGTCTTTAAACCTAATCTTGGAAGTGGCATCTCATCACTTTTGCCATATCTGTTCTTTAGAAGCCAGTCAGTAGGTCCATCCCTTTCTCAAGGGAGAGAATTACACAAAAAATGTGACCCCTGGAAGGTGAGGATCATTGGCACTATCTTAGAAGCTGCCTATAAAACATCGCCTGTAACTATATTCGATAATACACTCTAATTTTCCAAATGGTTGTATCACTTTATCTTTGTGGCAGCAGTGTTAATGGTGATTCCAGTTGCTCTACATGTCTGATATTGTTAATCTCTTACTTTGTAATCTGTAGATATATGGTAATGTCTCATGGTTTCAATTTGCATTTCCTTAGTTGTCAGTGAGATTCAGTATTTGTCTTTTCTCTGATTTATGGAATATTTGCATATCATCTTTTATGGGTTCCTGTTCAGATCTCTTGCCCACTTTTCTATTCGGAGTTTCTTACTGATTTATAGTAGTTCTTTGTATATTCTGCTCTAAGCCTTTTGTCAGTTGTATGTGTTATAAAAATATCTCTGCACTATGTAGCTTGCAGAGGGTGTCTTGGTAAATAGAATATATTTTAATATTTTATATACAAATATAATATTTTATATATAATGATTTTATATATTCTACTAAAATAGAATATACATATTTTAATATAATACAACTTGCCTTTTTTTTTTTTTTTT